CTGGCTCACGTGACTGACGCACGTCTGACTAACAGATGTTCTGACTGTGGTTGATTGATTGACTGACTAAATGCCTGACGGACTGGCTCACGTGACTGAGTGACCCATGTTACATGATTATTAAGTGGCTTGAATGACTGTAGATCTGACTGACTGTTTGAATGACTGTAGATCGATTGACTAATACTAACTGACTCTGACTGACATGTTCTAACCACTGACTGTCTGACTCACACAGAAGGAGCACTAGCGATGGATTGTCTTCCTTCTTCCATTTCTTTACGAACGCGCAGGAGTTCTCCAAGAATTTGAGATCTTGTGCGTGTTTTGGCTCTTGTTGGTGACTCCATACCGGGTGTTTCGTCTTCTCGTAGATGTCTTAGCTCTTCGTCGGTCATTTCAGTCCCTGAAAACAAAGCATGAAACGAATCTTTGTTTTCGTTTTCTCCATTTCACGCAATCCGAGGTCGTGCAACAGGCCCGTAGGCTGGGGTGGAGATTATTTTGTTATGAACTGCTTATTCTAGAAGCCAGTTCTTACCAACACACAATATACCTGTGCATTGAACTAATTTAGTTAGACATTTGATTTAGGTCCGCATTATGAGGCTGCCTACAGGCCTGAACACCACCAAAACTTCCACTACCATCAAGCTCAAAGCTAAAATACAACTAAAGACCTATAAGAATCACTTTAYCAGTACTAGGATACTACCTAGTAGTAGCAGTTACTAGTTACTAACTCTGATGTATATAGCATTATATGCTGATTATAAATATTGTTTTGTGAATCGGCTTGGTTCTGAAAGTTTTGCTTTACTTTGGAAATAAACAAAGACGATGCAAAAAGCTCGTGCATTTTGTGAATGAAATTGTATGCTAAGTTTTTTAGACGCGTTTTGAAAACGAATCTGTTACGATTTTCTATTGCCTGCCTTCATCGTTTTCTTCGTGCGAATAAAACTCCTCGAATAAAACATTTCTGGAATTAGTAATTTGCTTAAAGGACTTAAGTATTTTCAAAAACTTCTGCCGATTTGAAAAATCTTATAATAATATTGTCATCACCGCTTTTTGGCTTCAAATTGAAAGTTTGAAAGCTTCGAACTTTTCCTTATAATTGAAACTATATTCTAAAAATGGAACTTCAGGTTTGAAGTTCATGTTTTTTCAATAATTTGAGACCGATTAACATTTTTTTGATGACACATTGCCATGAATGTTCGTTTGAAAGGAATGGGCTATGCAGGCTGACTTGAAATTGTACTGATATATATATTACCTTTAGTTGGTGACTCGGTGTAGCTTGACTCCGTCGCATTTTCAGCCATGTTTTCTTACCTTTCACCACTACCAAGCAATAGTAAACATCTCAGTTACAAAAAAGTAAACATCTATACAATAAAGTACTCGAGGTTGTACTTTTAGTGGATTTTGTCGTTAACCCAACACCCCCAAAACAAAATCCTAACTGATTTTCACAACATTTGATCGAATTTTTCAACCAAAAATTCTTACCTTAGAAATGCGTGCTTTCTCTTTTCCAACAAATGAAGTTTTGATTAAAAACATAGAGGGCTTTTATGCATGTATCCAAGGCAACAGGTCGCTGGGGTTTAGTAGTCTATTATTTGAAATCCCAAAGGACGTTATAGTCGTTAGCGATTGATCGGACTGTATGCATGCCGCTCAACGAACAATAAAAATGTGTTTATTGTCTCTGTGAACGATTAAATAAAGTGTTTAGAAATCACTTAACAAATTTGTAGAGGAAATGTGTCCGCGTCTCCGATATTACAGTGGCATTTTTGCTCTCGCATAAAGTTGAAATAAGCGCTTGGACATTTTTATCGACTTGAAATAGAACACTTTTACCATTAGCTATAAGAGGGGTTTTAATACTTTTAAAAGCATACATTTGATCATTCAATTACAACGAATATCAACAAAGTTCTCAAAAGTAAACACACCAACACAATACGCCACTATCCTTAAGATTAAGGTTGAAGCTTTGACTGCCTTCAGTTTGAAAAGGCACGTTCTATGGCATAAATAAACTATTTCAATTTGATTTGTAAATTTTTTAATTTTTTTTTGATATTTTGATTAAAGTTTGGATATAGAGCTTTTAAGCTCTAAAAAGGTCCGTGTAGAGGCGTGGACGTTTCGTTCATTCAAAATTCAAATTATTGCATGGGCTTCCTGTGGACTTTACTAAGATATGTCAAGAGAGTTATACTGAGGAAAAAGGGATGATTGGAAGTATTTTTAATCGAAGAACATGAAAGACTATCGATCTGTGTTTACAGCCAAGGATGCGACTCTCAAAGTGAGGACTGCTCGTCAAACATGATTGCTTCTTTCACAATATTAATCRCAGTATTCAAAATCAATGCATTAATTTAATAATAGATGAGGTGACGGTTTTGGCAGCCATCTTGGCCGGTAGACAAAGGAGTGTCGCAAAATAACAAGGATAGACCAGGAAATCGATGTCAAACAATTCCCGCTGAATTCAAATTCGGAAAGAGTTATCAATTACAAACGTTAGATACTGTAAAAAGGCCAAATTTGAAGGGCGTACTCGATAGTTCTCCATACATTTCTTTGTAATTCCCGGGATCATCAGCGCGTGACGCGAGTGAAAAATACAAAGAAATGTATTGAGAACTAAAAATAAATTTACTCGCTCCCTAGATGGAGTACATCCTTCAAGTTTATTCAGGGAACTCCTTTTTGTAGTATCTAACGTTTGCACTTGATAATTCTTTACCGAATTTGAATTCATCGAGAATTATTTGACATCGATTTCCCGGTCTATCCTTGTTATTTTGCGACACTTTGTCTACCGGTCCAGGATGGCTGCCAAAACCGTCACCTCATCTATTGTACTCGTGTTGTGTGCGATGCCATGATAAGCGCGACAAAGAACCGAGCAGAATATGAACAAATAAGTTGTGTCGTCTGTCTCATAAGAACGGGATTCTAAATACCCTTTCGAAAAATGCCCGATATCGCTTAGTATGCATGCACAAAAACAGTATTACCTCATCCTGGATATATATATTAATTCCTGTTAAAAGTTGATACAATAAGACTTACTAACATATATATATTCTCAATTTTAATTGAAAAATATTTTAATATTAAATATTAATTAAATATTTAAAAATATTAAAAATAAAAAAAGCTACTGAATACAATTTTTGGCAAATATTTTTTCTCCTTGATAAAAACCCATCTGAATGAAATTTCTTAACAATTGTATCAATAATATGCATTACCACAGGTGGCCCATGTATGCGATCGCTGATCGTCTATTGTTGAAATTTAAAATGGCTGTCAATTCGATTTTTAAAAAGTTCTTTTTTATCTTCGACTCGTTCTTTTTTGTCGAGTTTACTTCATGAACTCTTCACAGCATATCGCAATGCATCGACTTGTGAAAATTACAAAAGACCAGCATGTTTACAAGCGAAATACGAAAAAGTCTTTATGAAAATTCGATAAATAATCCAATCAAATTTCAAAGTTTGAATTCAAATTTGATTTCAATAATGTAATGTTAAATCGACCAAGAATCGAATAATGAATTGAATAATGGTGATTTGAGGGGGCGCGCTTCATTTCTTTTGACTATAATGTTGTATATCATCAGCAAATTTTATTATATGCAAATTTTGCAGAATTCAGTTTTTCAATGACGCTTTTTACTGCATCTTTTATCTCAAGATTTGATTACCGTAGTTACGAAAAACAAAGAAACAAAGCAAAACAAACTATGAACAAACAAACAAAAACAACAATAAATTAACAAAAAAATAGGTCGTATAACTGTACACCTCACGATGATTCCATCTGTTCTAGGTGCTTTTTTCACCTGCCATCGCTTTTTCGTGAAGATTTTTTCCTCCATCAACTTTTCCGAGCTGTTTCAACACTCTGCCTAACCTTCTTGACGATCTAGCCACCTTAGGATGGTTACTGCAGTAAGTTCTTTCGTTAATTGCCAGTGCTTTTTCGAAACATTCTTTCGCTTCATCAAGTTTTTCAAGTTTATCCAACACTAATCCTAAATTATTTAACGTTGTAGCCACMTCAGGATGATTGCTGCCGTAAGTGCTTTCTTTGATTGCCAGTGCTTTTTCGTAACAATCTTTCGCTTCATCAAGTTTTTTAAGTTTGTCCAACACTAATCCTAAATTATTTAACGTTGTAGCCACCTTAGGATGATTGCTGCCGTAAGTGCTTTCTTTGATTGCCAGTGCTTTTTCGTAACAATCTTTCGTTTCATCAAGTTTTTCGAGTTTTCTCAACACCGATCCTAAACTATTTAACGTTGTAGCCACGTCAGGATGATTGCTGCCGTAAGTGCTTTCGTGTATTGCCAGTGCTTTTTCGAGACATTCTTTCGCTTCATCAAGTTTTTCAAGTTTGTCCAACACTAATCCTAAATTATTTAACGTTGTAGCCACCTTAGGATCATTGCTGCCGTAAGTGCTTTCTTTGATTGCCAGTACTGTTTCGAGACATTCTTTCGCTTCATCAAGTTTTTCGAGTTTATTCAACACTAATCCTAAATAATGTAATGTTACAGCCACCTCAGGATGATTGCTGCCGTATGTACTGTCTTCGCTTCTGTGGCAATTTTCAGTGAGGCAGTGGCTTATCTCACATAATGTTCTTGCTGTGCTATATTTCCAGTGCTTTTCACATACATAAGAAACAGTTTCAATGAGAAACATGGTAAATGGAATGTATTGATGTGTAAATAATTTACTACACTGATAATGTACCCCATAAACGTTTGTTTCACTTAGTATCTTTAAAATTTGATGCCTTTCAAAATAATCTTTCACCTTTTCCGAGAAAAAGACAAAGTGCTGAATTAGAGGAGCTGTTTCTTGAATGAACTTGATTATATCTCTGCGTATGTTCTTGATGTAAGAAAATACCTTCATGAATTTCATGAAAAATGAAAATTCATCGACTGTTTGCAGGAATGCACTTTGATAGACCGACTGAAGAACATCATAGACAACTTGGTGAACGCGAACTGACTGCCGTTTAGAGCTGTCTTCGGAAGTAATAATGAGTGCGGATGATGTAATGGTTATAGCTAAATTCTCTTTTTCCATCTCAGGTATGCACTGACGTACATAGTTCATAACATGTTCTAGTGATATGAATTCCGGGGCAACAGCCGCCATAAATTCAA